AAAAGAACAGTCAAATTTGTCACAGTGGAACGCTAATTGTTGGAGAGAAAAGAGGTCATCTTAGTCAGGTGGACGTCTTGAAAAGTTTTATTGTAATGTAGAAAAAACGCAAGAGGCGGATTTGGAAGTAATATTTTGTACAGTTCATTATAAGATGAATGGCGGGTGCTCTGGTGTGGTTTGCTCCTTCTTTCCTATCAACATCTATCGTCCTTATCTCCCCTCTTTCTTTTAATTGTTTGTTACTCTTCTGTAACACCTCTAATCTTTGGCACTTGTGTTACCTTAATGTGCTGCAAGAGTCGTAAAAGTCTTAAGAGAACTATTAAAAAAAAGATAATTCAGAAGGCGGGCTGCTTGTCCATGTCCTGTCAGATTCAATCAAGAATGAGTGGATTACATCATCCCAGCAGACAGAGGGAGGTACTCCTTAGAATACATTTTCTTCTTGGGAGTCGGAACTCACACCTCTGTGTAATGGCGAGGAGCCTGATCATTGCAGTACTGACGCCAGTTGGTTATTCTTTGAGCCTGAGCAAGATTGAAAGAGATAAGGATAGGAAATGTAATATGTGATGACTCGAAACTGTCTGTTTGTTGCTTGTTTAACAGTTTAAAAAACTGATAAGTTGCACTGTGTAACTGTGACTAGTTTTCTGCTTTAGTTCATATAATGTGCAAAGTAAATTCACATCATTCTCTGTCTCCCTTACATTGCCCCCCCCCTTTACTCTCTCTCTTTTCCGTTCCTCCTCCTGTTCCCCCCTCTCTCTCTCATTCTCTCTCTCTCTCTCTGTCTCGATCTCTTTCTCTCTCTCTCTATCTATTTTCTCTCTTTATCTCTTTGTCTGTTTGTCTGCCTGTCTCTCCTTTACTCCCTTTTCCTCCTTACTATTTTATCTCCAGCTCCTTAAATCTCGTACAAATTTTTTTTCCGCAGTCTATTAAAGGGCGACCCCCCTCCCACTCCAAGGATAAAAAACTAAATATTTATTATTAGGCGTCTTATCTAATTTATTCTATGATGTTTCACAACCAATTATCACAGGCGCCATCGTCAGAGGACGGATTCGGCTGGAGACCCACACAGCGAACCGACTCCTCCAGTTCCTTCCCATCCTACAACAACAACAACAACGATAATAATAACATTGCGGCAGTGGATCAAGCCACACCGGACCGCGTCTTTTCACCCCCACCGCCGCAGCAGCAGCTGCCATCGTCTGCCCCGAGCTCTACGGAACCAGCGAGCGCCACTTCCTCCCGGAGCTTTGACGTCACAGACAGCAGACACATGAATGGTGACGCCGGGGCCGGGGACGAAGGACGACTCCCGCCCACCCAGAGCCCTTACATAACTCTGTTGCAGAAGAGCAGAGGTAAGCAAAAAGTAGTGGGCCCTAATAAACGCGTTTCGCTGTTTTAGGGTTCTCTTTTTTAAAAGTTGACCTATGTTATTAATATTGTGTCTCGTAACACTGTTTTAGCCCTGAAGCATGTTAGGGTGTTTACTGGTTTTCATTTTGTGCAGTATTTTAAAGACAATGGTTTGTGCTCGCAATTGGTAGAATAATATTTATGTGATATTATAAAAGGTGCATGTTACATTCTTACTTACTGTCTTGAATTCTAAGGGTCTACACATGAATTCAAAACAACCTTACTGGAAGAAATGTCCACATTGGACCTTTCTCCTTACAGGTGGCTGTTAAATTTAATTTTGTTCTCTTGCATCCTCTTTTTATTTTTCAGGCCAAGCGACGTATTCTAATTTGTTTTGTTCTCCTTAATAGTGTCATCAATTTCTTTGAAAAAATTACGTCTTCTGTTGTACATCGCAGATCCAGATGAGCATTATAGCCCATCTGTGAAGCAGTGGAAAACACCTTTCGTTTCATCAAATCTTTATTATGTATATCCTCGAGGGAGGCTAACACCTATTAATTTCAAACTGTGACTGTTGATTTCAGAACTGAAATTATTGGAAGATGAAAAATTGGCTGGTAAGAAAGACGTTATAACCCACCCATATTGGTTTGTTGACACTGCGATTGTCAAATCAGCTTCGCACTTGATGTTCTGCTAAATATAATTTGATTTCATTTCTTTGATATGTGTTTCCTTTCCCCATTTCTTTGGAAGTAAATCGAAGGTAAATTTTTCTTTTGTTGAACGAAAATAATTTGGGAATCCCGGGCTAAGAGCCAAACTGGCGTGTCTTGACTTTGGAACGATGTATACTATTTTTTTCTCTCTCGTGAAATCAAAAGTCAGGGATCGCCACATAATATGTCTGGCATATTTGCAAACTCAGCGTGTAGCAACATTTTTGGGGGGTGTGTGGGGGGCT